TCTTAAGGGGAAAAATCTATCCAGGCTGAGATTCTTTTACTGCACTTTATGCAAACATGTTTAGACTGTTCTGAACCAGCTGACCATGATTTATTTAGTTTAAAATTTAATAGAACTGCAAAGTTAAAGATTTACAGTAAACTTTGATATTCTTGTTGCTCAACATGAATGTTTATTTTTGCCCAGATCATTTTCCTTCCCTTGTAAGCTGAATTCTCTGAGGTATCTTCATTTCACTTGTACAGCTGTGTGTTTTAGCAGCTTTTCTCAGATGCCTGAGTAATAATAAGAACATTAGTGACTTATTTGCAGGACTCAGTGACTCTGGACACTGAATGCAGTCAGTGCTGAGGTCACTCTGCCCCAGTATTTCCACAGATGATGTGTTTTTAGATCAAGCTGGTTTCTGGCCAACACATTAGCCCTCGTAGCACCTTCAGTGTTTGAAGAGTTCAAACCATTCTCAGTTTTTCCTGAAAAAGTTTTAACACTAAAAATACCCATCCTGTTGTTTTTCTTGGTAAGTTATGTGTCATTTTGTCCCACAAATAGAATTTAGATGGAATGCAAGTTTTTAATCTACAGGTAACCTTATATTATTAGTATTTTTCAATGTTCAGTTAACCTTTTCCTAAACCTTCAATTTTTTAATTGTTTTCTGAACTCGTCTCACAGATTACAGCATTTAACTGCTTAGAGTACTAATAAAAGGTTTGTCCTATGTGCTGATAGTTTGCAACAAACAATTGTATTTTCTGTAGACATTTTATGATCTGATCTTTCTCAGCTGCCACCTAGTGGACAGATGCAGCATTTTCTAATATTTTTGTTGGAATCAGCAGCATGTGTTGCAACACAGAGTTCATCACAAAGATCTGCGGTTCAGAAATAGATCATCTTTGCTGCCCCTTTGTGGTAAAATAAAATAAGTGGTATAGTTTGAATAGTAATTTTTACTTTATTTGCTGATAATCTACTAGTTCAATTGAATCCAAACATACATCTTCCTTAAAAGCAGTATTCAAGGTCTGCTTTTGAGATAATTAGTTAATTTATTAAAATATGACGTGCAGTATTA